CGAAATATCATAGGACAATCTAAACTACAGCCAAAGCATTAAGAAATTTGATAGTGCAACCGAAACATATTACATCCAAACTACGTTAAGATTTTTCAAAATTCTACCAAAAATCATATAAGCTTTTTTTTGCATTAAAAAGCGGAATCCAAAATTTTAGGCTTTTATTTCTATTGGGAAGAGCCCCGCAAATGAAAAAGTATCATTTGGCTACTAAAGTCAAATAAGTGCATTAACAAAGCGCATTTTAATAATTCAAAATTTAGTATATTTCAAATTCTTTTCTTCTATTATTTCTTTCTACTCAAGCCAAAATCGATGCAAATTAGAAAATAGTTATTTGGAAGCCTTTTCAACTTCCTAGAATTTTCGTAGATTTTTAAAAAATAATTTCGTAGTCGTTTAGTTCATGAGCGTTGTTTCACTATCAGATTTCCTAGTACTTTAGCTATAATTCGGATTGTCTTATAATATTTCGCTATCTTGTAAAAAAATTTCCCCCTACTTTATAAGTAGGGAGTTGAGGAAAAGTCCCACCATTGCACTACAAACCCCAAGTACTACGTATAATACACATCAAAATTATAGCGTTGGGCGGCGCCAATGTTCCATCTCCCTCCTCTTGACGCGACGAATTTAAAATGCCATTCTTGGTGGTTTGTCGCTCGTTTGCTGGCTGCGTTGCGTTGCGGTTGCGTTGCAGTGAGGGTGGCTGCCTCTTCTGCAACCACTTACGCAAACGGAATATCGGAATATCGGATTATCAGGCGATGATGCACACATTACCGATTTTGGTACAATCCGTCTTTCTTTCCCTATCCGTTCGTCCGTCTATCTGTACAATTGTATTTGGCCGTCATATATTGTGCTGCTTGATGAGGAGAATGTGATGGCGCCATATGGCAAGATATCATCGGTCTCGTCCGGATTAGTTCTCTTTTTTTTTTTGCACAAGTGCTCTGCTTGCTTGATATTACGCCCAGACCATGAGGCCATATCGTTCGGGCCTTGTAAGTCCAACTAACTAGCATTCTACATTTGTCAACGTAGCCTCGTATTACCACGTTGCGCTTTGCGCCATGCCTCGGATGTCGTCGATAGCGTTCACTATTAGTCGATTACTGAACATGAGCCTTTGCGCTGCGTTGGGTCTTGTCATCTATCTGTTAGAGGAGTTGCGTCTATAGTGGCTTGATAATGGGCCAAGATGGCAAGTTTTGCAATTGAGGCTAACGATCAATCTTACAACATGCCATGTTCTACGAAATAAACTTCATGATTGCTTGCCGAGCGGCTGTAAGGATCAACCGAACACATCAAGGTCGGTACAATATACCTTGGTTATACTCTCACATACATTCAAGCGTCCATACTATGCTTCCGAAGCCAAGTTTAGGCGTTCCCTGAAGGGGAAGAGCCCTATGGGACGCTAGCCAACGTGATTTCGAAGTTCTGTAATCCCCATCATCATTTTGTAATGGTCTTTTGTTACCAAGGCGAGCCGTATTGGACTGTCCGTGAGTGCACTTCGCTTGCGTCCCATGCTGGCGAATTTCGCAAAGATCGGGAAGTCGCGACTTAGACCGTGTCGTACCTTCCCCAGACCGGCGGTCGGGAGGATATGGAAGAATGAGCAATGGAGAGCAATGGGAAAGAGCGAGCAGTACCCGACAGAGCAATCCCACCCATTTAGACCACTTGTGCATCAACCACCATACCACCCGCATTTTGGCATTTTCTGCACAGACGAAACAAAACCGCAAAGCAACCCCCAAAAAAGAGAAGACGTGATAAACAGCATCAACGAATGCAGAGATGTAACACAAAAAGGCAAAAAGAGAAGTCAAAACCGACGCGAGCAGGATTTGAACCTGCGCCTCCGAAGAGATTTGATATGTTCGAATTACGGTAGTTCGAGTCAAACACCTTAGGCCACTCGGTCATCGCGCCATCGATTGTTGTAGTTGGGAATGTAGTTGAAATTAATTGCCTATATACGGCAAGCGCACATTTCATTCAGCACTAACGCCAGAACGACTACGATGCATAATACAATGCATGTGGATGATGGAAGATACGATGCATCGTAGTGGTTATGATGTTGATGTTCAAGAAGATGAAGTTGTTGATCATTTTTCAAGTCTGATTTCCGTCTACCAAAACATTTCTTTATCCCTTTCCAGTCCAGTACTGCTTTGAGTATTAGCTTAAGACCTCTTGTCACACGTCCTTGGCGTGTCTATACTTCATTAATTCGTTTTGTTCCATGATAAATGCGTAGTCTAATGTCTCATATGCCATTTTCTATCTTATCCATACCTTCATTATTCATACTTGGCCATTACATCTTGCCCTTGTAAAGTTTGGGACAGTCCAACACTGGTTTGCCTGTTAGCTCGAGACCTCTTACTAACATTTCTAGGCATTTATGTATCTAACTGATCCGTTTCGGTCTACAACAAATGCTTGATCATCCTTTATATATATCATTTGGAATTCTATTCATGCTCTTCCAATTTATACCGAGCCATTACATCTTGTCCTCATGAAGCCTGGGATGGTCCAATACTGGTTTGTTTATTGTCTCGAGGCATCTGGCCAACGTTCTCAGGCGTTTACATATTTGCTTGATCCATTTCGTTCCACAACAAATGCGTATTCTTGTCTTGCATATCCCATTTTGACATTCGTTGATACCTTCCTGAATCTTGCTTAACTATTACATTCTGTCCTCGAAAGGTTTGGGACAGTTTGGGATAGATCTTGTCCAGTATACTAGGAGTACCAAGCTACAAACAAACAAACAAACCGGCATCAGATTGTAGTTGCGAGTCACTTGCCTAGCCGTCTCACTGGGTGGGGGAGCATTATCCAAGGCCCAAGTGTCCGAGACTAAATGCCAGTTCCTACCACTCTCTCCCAGGCAACAAAACATTACGATGCCGACAGTCTAACACCGAAAACGATCTATCACTTTCATGCATTATGAACGTATTGAGTCTACTATTACCTACCACCTACTAATCCCTATGCTAACGAGACTCACGTTACATATCATCCTCCCAATTGGAAATCTGGAGCTGCTTACATCCGTCTTCTGCCCGGTCACCACAGCGTAGTATTTCCTCCCCCATATAATGCCAGGGCGCACAACCACGCTTTCCACCTTTCTATAAATACTACACTACAATGACCGAGTGGCCTAAGGTGTTTGACTCGGGGGTTGCTTCACACGCAGTTCACAGCGTAGGTAGGTAGGACTGATTGATACCTTGCCGTTGCTACCATTCAACCCCTATTAGAATTGATATCAGGTTGATAGTTTTCATAGAACCCAACATCCCTCACAGTGTAGTTGACTATTCTAGGCGCACCTATAAGGGAGTTTCCAAGATGTGCGAGATGCCTAGGGGTAAATTATCAACACACCATCTTCGGGCTCCAAGTCCATGTTGGGTTCAATCTTTCCGGCTACAGGCTCCGTGTTTGTTCAGCTGACGACAACCTGCTACGACGCTGAGTCCGTGTTCTTGGGTCATAGAGGCTCGTCTGATATTGCAACATTGACAGTGTCGGAGAGATATCAGACAAAGGGGATCGGGACTCCAAGAAAGTTGTTGATTCAGCGATCCAGCAATTCAACAACCTCAAACCGAAACCGTGCCAAAAAGCCAAGACCCATGATATTTCCGTTCCAAATCGTTTGGTAATTTTCAACAGTCTGCATCAGGATAGATGTAAAGATGTGGCACACTGTCGCCTCCACCATCAAGAAGATACATCCGTGAATCCCTGACAACCCTACTGGTACTTCTGCTACCTCCGCTACCCTTCCTCCAACAACACAATACAGGTTTTGAATATCGTCATCACCCATTGAAATGCTGACGAGAAACCGAGCGACAGTCTACCAAGGTGCGACAAAGATGTGCCATTATCGAGATCTTGCTTGAATATCAGGGACCAGTGGAGTACTCCCCAGGTTGGCCACTGTCCTAGATGCACTATGGTCCATGATGGTTTCTGTATATCGTGTTTCAGCGACTTGATCGACGGCAACCATGATTGGGAATTCTGCCATTTGTTATTGATCGAAATTCGACGAGAAATTGGATATGCTCCTTTTGCCCCCAGGTTCGGTTTGGGCCGCATCAGGCTTGTCGTTCGGTGTTTATTACAGCAGTTTAATTTCGTCAGGGGGGCGTGTTTCATGTGCCTAGGCTGGTGGTCGATCCCCTGAAAAGGGCTTGAAAAAGCTGCCGATTGCATCATCTGGAACGAGGTGTGTACTGTAAAGATACGTACGTACAGTGTCTGTAAGCTGTAATTTGTCAATTACCCCAGAGTCAAAAGTATTTTAGTATGGATGAATGATTCAATCTTGGAGTTGCAATCACATGTGGTGTGATTGCCCATCACGTCCTGGGAGCATGGCAATCTCTGCCAAGGTCTCCGCCATGCCCTTTCCGTGCCCTGGGAAGCGAAATCTGCCAATCGGTTGAGCGAAATGGCATGTTTGGAAGGCCAAGAAGAACCTTGCCTTGCTGAAGGTTCCGGATACGACAGGTACAACAGGTACAACAGGTACAACAGGTACGCCAGGCACACCGGCCACACCAAGTGCCTGGGAGAAAACGCCAGGTGCACAACATCCGTAGATCGCGTCCCAGCCTGGTGGTCATCATATTGTTCGTTTCAAGGACGCGGGGCAAGACGCATTCGATGACATCAGAAGACCGAGCGATCAGCTGGCCTGTCTAACCTGACCCTGGTGCCTGGTGCCTGGTGATGAGGGACGGAGAGGTCACTCCGAGTCCGATAACCCAGGGAGCTTGGAGGGAGCCATCAATAGAAGGCGGTGTGATGGAAGGCAGTGGATGGAAGAAAGGCTTGGTTCGGTCCTCCTGCTTTCCCATCCCTTGTAAACATGGCATCGCAATGACCATGAAGGGGCGTCTTGGTGGATTGATTTTGAGCCGAACAGCCAGCTTGGCGCCGACTCAAACCGCGTCGTCCTCGCCCACGGCAGCCTCGGGAAGTTGTGTAGATGTGATCCAGTTTTCCATCATTGCCTGGCCGCCAGGCTGGGCCGTCAAAGCCTTGCCACTCGAAGGCCCCGTAACGGTCCTCCCACTGTCCTGCTTTTTCACCACAAGACAGAGTACTCGGCCGTAGATAGCAAAGCCCTCGTATGATATGTCCATAGCAAGCTTCTTCTTGTCATCACGTCCCTCCTCCTCCCCGGCAGCAGGCTGCTTGTCTTTGCGACGCTTTCTTGCCGGAGGCCCTTCGCTTCCATTATCGTCGTTGCTATCACCAATGAACATGTCATCGTCGTCAAGTAGCTCCGAGTCAATGGCTTGGGCCTCGTCATCAACGCCACTGTCATTGTTTGGTCCCGATGGTTGCCGACGTCTTCGTTTTGACCTCCTATTGGCGGACTCGGATATGACGTCCGTTTCATCGACGGTAGGGATATCGTTTAGGTTGACCTCCTGATCTTCGTCATTTTCCTCTCGTATAATGGGCACATCATCGTCGTCGGCTGCCTCCCGAAGTAGAGCAGCTTCCACGTCAACGTCGACGGGCGCTTCACGTGATTCTCCCGTGAGCTTGGACGAATTGGACTTTAGTTTAGTCTGGATCTTGTCTCGGAAATGCTTCTGCTTGTGTAATAAGGAGTGCCGGGTATCTGTTTCGGTGAGGAAGACGGACACCTCAAAGTCGTCTATGGAGATGTCAGTCTACATGCCGTACACATCTGCCACAACGCAACGGACCAGGGAGGCATATGGTTGTGGTGCTCGACTGGATAATAACCAGACATACCCTCAATGACTACATCCTTGATACTCCGCTTCTTGCTCTTCTTTTTGCTTTGCGCGCGTTCCCTCTCCTCACGCAGCTTGGGCAGTACTAGTGGACGCACGGCCTCAATGACCTTGGGTAGAATGGAATTCCTAGGGTTGAGAAGCCATGAGTGTGCTAAGGCCGGGTTATCGAGATATATACGACATTCGAGCACCGAATACTTTGTAATCCGAAGGTATCGTCTTATTGGCGCCATAGATAGTATCAGGTAGAGGTGGCTCACATAGTATGGTGTTGAGTGGCGGGAAGAGATGGTTTTGTTGATGACGATGATGACGATGTCGTCGTTTGTTGACAAAGGGAGAGGTGGGGCTAGGTAAGTAGCGGTTGGCACGTCAGCAGCACTCAGCCCAGCTCAGCGGACGAAGCATGGAGCCTTGCAGCGCCGACTTTTACAGGGAAGAGCGGGAGCTAGCGGGGAGCTACCCAGCCTCACAGGAGCTGCGCAGCCCCTCTGTGCGATATCGCGTCGCGAAAATTTACAGCGCCTTGGAGGTTTGCGAATGTTGACTTGTGACTCGAGCATTGAGGTGTTTGGTTGGGTATTCAACCCCAACATGAGGCGTCAAACATGTCAAAGAACTGGTCTTCCACGCTGAGACTACCCAAGTCCACTCTTCCGTAAGAACCGACACCATCTCCAAGAGCATCTGTGCGCATACTGACATCAGACGAGAAAGGCCGCGCCCTCTGCCCACCCAACACAAAGAATACATCAAGAAATGCGCCGATGACTTCTACAAGTGGCAGGCCACCAATCGCCCTGCTGATGATGCCTTCCTCCTCCACGACGGCCCTCCCTACGCCAACGGCAGCCTCCACGCCGGCCATGCCCTGAACAAGATCCTCAAGGACATCATCATCCGTACTAAGGTCCAGCAAGGTGCGCGAACGATGCCAGCCGGCTGCTGATTCTCCGAGCGCTCCGAACCCTTTGACTGATCAGCTGTGTTGCGCCAGGCCAGCGTGTCACCTACATTCCAGGATGGGACTGTCACGGACTTCCGATCGAGCTCAAGGCTGTCAGCACCGAAGAGGGTAAGACCATGACACCCACTGCCATCCGCCAGGCAGCCCGTGGTCTGGCCTCCAAGACGGTGTTGGAGCAGATGGACAGCTTCCGGACATACGCCGTCATGAGTGACTGGGAGAACCGTTGGACAACCATGGATAGGACCTTCGAGATCAACCAGCTGCGTCTTTTCCAGAAAATGGTCAGCCGTGGCCTGATCTACCGCAAGTTCAAGCCCGTGTACTGGTCGCCGTCGTCCGGAACCGCCCTGGCCGAAGCCGAGCTAGAGTACAACGAGACGCACATCTCCAAATCCGCATACGTCAGGTTTCCCATCACCAAGGATTCCTCTACCGTTCCTGGCTTGGAAGGCTTTGCCGGGAACCTGTATGCCGTTATCTGGACGACAACTCCCTGGACCCTCCCCGCCAACAGAGCCATTGCCGTACACGATGATCTGCTATACCATGTTGTCCGTGTGGGAGACGATGCCTACGTTGTTGCTGAGGGTGGTTTTGAGCGCGTTGCCAAGGTCTTGCTGGGAGAGGAGGAGACTCCCGAGATTCTGGCTACTGTTCCTGGCTGCCAGCTCACCCAGTTGCAGTACATTAACCCTCTTCTGGGCAAGTCTGCTGTCCCTCAGCCCTTCATCCATGGCCCCTTCGTCACACCGGATTCGGGAAGCGGTCTCGTCCACTGCGCCCCAGGCCACGGTTTCGATGACTACCTGATCTGCAAAGATCTGGGAATCCCCGTTTCCGCGCCTGTTGATAACTACGGCATCTTCACCGAGGAGGCCTATCCCGATGACCCAAGCCGACTCGAGGGCGTTTCTGTGCTTGAGGGCGGTTCTGCTGCCGTGCTCGAGCTATTCAAGGACAATGTCCTGAACGTGCACAAGTACAAGCACAAGTATCCTTACGACTGGCGGACCAAGAAGCCCATCATCATCAGGGCCACCGCGCAGTGGTTTGCTGATGTGGACAGCATCAAGGAGCTGGCGTTAAAGGCCTTGGAGGAGGTCAAGTTCGTTCCTGAAAGCGGAAGAAGTTTGTTAAGGGGCGGAGCGAGTGGTGCATCTCACGACAGCGTGCCTGGGGTGTACCCATTCCTGCGCTGTACGATGCCAATGGCGATGCAGTGATGACCGAGGAGACCATCGAGCACATCATCTCCGTTATTCAGGAGAGAGGCATTGATGCTTGGTGGTCTGATGATGCTCATGATCCTGCCTGGATTCCCGCCTCTCTTCAGGACAAGGGTCCGTTCACCCGAGGTAGAGATACCATGGACGTCTGGTTCGACAGTGGTAGCAGCTGGACCCAGACCGACAGGCAAGCGGATATCTATCTTGAGGGTTCTGACCAGCATCGCGGTTGGTTTCAGTCGAGTTTGCTCACTCGAGTAGCAGCCATGGCGGTTCAAAGCCCGACACCCGATGGTACAACCAGTGCGGTTGGCCTGTCGCCCTTCAAGACACTCATCACTCATGGCTTCACGCTGGATAAGGCCGGCAAGAAGATGTCAAAGTCACTGGGCAATATTATCTCGGCTGACCAAGTCATGGATGGTTCATTGCTTCCTCCGCTGAAGGTCAAAAACAAGAACAGGGATCCGAACGTCCCTCCACCAAGGGATGCTCTCGGCCCTGACGCCTTGCGCTTGTGGGTAGCGAGCAGTGACTACACCAGTGACATTGTCCTTGGCGAGCCGGTGCTGAAGACTATCCATCAGTCCTTAACCAAGTATCGCACCATCATCAAGATGCTGACGGGCTCGATGGAACAATCAGCCAGAACTTCTCCACTGACTGCTTTGGACCACATTGCTCTCGTCCAACTAAAGGATACCATGGCGGAGGTTGAGAAGCACTACAGGAACTACGAATTCAACAAGGCCTTTAGCAGTCTCAACAGATGGATCGCCAATGACCTGTCTGCCTTTTATCTTGAAGCTCTGAAGGACAGGTTGTACTGCGCCGACGGCGGCGGTGTTCTGGAACCCATCTTCATGGGCTTCCTGAGAATGCTGGCTCCTATCACCCCCGTCTTGGTTGAAGAGGCCTGGGAGCATCGTCCTATGTGGATGAAGGAAGATTCATCTGTTCTTCACCCTCTTCATCAGCTGTATAACTCGCCTCTCATTGATGCCCGCCGTCTGAGCTACGATGAAGCCGTGCTTCGCAAGGACATTCCCGTCTTGATGGAAACGCATGCTGCCATCAAGGCCGCGTCTGAGCTGGCACGTAGGGCCAAGGTCCTTGGCTCGTCCCTCGCTTGCTTCGTCGTGATCAATGCTCCCAAGGACAGCAGGGCACTCTCTGTCTTGCAGAAGTACAAGGATGAGCTAGATGCCATGTTTGTCGTGTCATCTGTAGACCTTGGCGGTGTAGTGGAGGGAGAGCCGACATGGAAGTATGTCCATGACTTCGAGATGGGTAGTCAGGGTTGCCAGGTGTGGGTGTTGCCCCCCAAGGATCACAAGTGCCCCAGGTGCTGGCGATTTGTTGCTCCTGCTGAGGACTCCTTGTGCGTCAGGTGCGAGGATGTCGTTGGCGACGGTGTACAATAAGTAAGGAGATCAAAGTGCTGGACTTCAAAAGATAGAGCAGAGTAGACAAGTACATAAAACGGATACCCCTCCCCCCTTCATGACATTCTTCAGTTCAGTCTTGATAGCTCCAGTGCAATCCATATCAATGTTTACATGTTTCAGGGCGAGCAGCCGCGGAGGTACACTAAATGCACAGTGAAAGGGAACCTCGACGACCCAAAGTTGGGGTACAGCGGTACAGAGCCCCCACTCCAGCCGCTAAGATAAGCACTGGCGTCCGCTGCGGGGCGGAAATTTTTCATGCATCAGTTCTGGCGATTGGGAAGGAAACTCCAGGAATTCTTTTGTTTCCTAGAGTCGATCATGCCTTCCCATCTTTGAATTCACTTGATTCTACCCACCACAAAGCTTCATACTGCTCGAAACCTACGCCAATTACCTGTAAATCCCCGATACCCAATTCCACGAAAAACAAACCACCCAGCATGGATATCTTCAAAGTCCTCTCGCGAGGCATCAAAGCCCAGCCCAAGAAAAACCAACCGGGTGCACCACAGCTCCTTCCCTCCGCCGGAGCAAAAGTCAATCCTCAGTTCTTCCACGATAACGTTGGCGGCTCCAACTCCAAGCGAAGCAAGAAGAGAAAGAGAAAGGGCACCCAGGCCAACAACGCGACCGAGAGCGGTGATGACGACTCCGATGCCAGCGACGTCGATTACTTTGCGCCCAAGCCCACCCCCGAGGAGCTTGCCGCCAAGAAGGATGCCGAGTTGAAGGCGGACGAGCCCAAGAAGCAGAAGCCCAAGCTTATGGAGGAGGACGAGTGCCGGCAAACGCTCAAGTCGCATCGGTTGAAGTTCACAGTCCTGGCCGGTCGCGTGCAACAACCCGAGGAGCCAACAGAGAAGCCGTCCAAGAAGAAGAAGCAGAAGAAGGACAAGAAGGAGCAGGAAGAGGAGGACAAGAAGAAAAAAAAGAAGGACGAGGACAAAAAGCAGATCTACCCGCAGCCGCTCAACTCGTTTGGCGAGCTCAAGTACACCTACGGCATCCACCCCACGCTGGCGGACAACATCACGAGGCAAGGGTTCCGGGTGCCGACCGAGGTGCAGATGGGCAGCTTGCCGCTGCAGCTGCGACCAGAGATGGCGTTGGAGAAGGCTTCAGGAGTGGAAGATGTCAAGGTTGAGAGGGGAATCGACTTCCTCGGTGTTGCGCCGACGGGCAGTGGCAAGACTATCAGCTTCTTGATCCCTGCTATCGATGCGATTATCAAGAGGAGGGCTGAGGACTATACCCCCGAAACGGACGAGCATGTCTTGCAGGCTATTGTTGTTGCGCCTACGAGAGAGTTGGCAAGTCAGATTGTCAACGAAGGAAGGAAATTGGCCATTGGCACTGGCGTGCGCGTGGTTCTCATGAAGAGGACTCTACGGTTGGTGGCGGAGGAGAACAAACAGGAGGAGACGGAGCAGGATGGCAAGGAAGCGGACAAAGACAGTGATCACGATAGCGAGGCAGAGAGCGAGCCTGAAGAGGTTCTGGCAAGCGATGAAGAAGAAGAGGAGGAGGAGGATTCTGACGCCGAGAAGAACGAGGAGAGCAAGGCCAAGGGCGATAAGAAGTCGAAGAAAGAGAGGCCCATCACCAAGGTAGACATTCTCGTGACAACCCCCAAGATCCTCCTTAACTTCCTCTGTGGAGGCGAGAAGGAGAAGGGCAAGCCCAGGATTGTCAAGAAGACGCTCCCCACCGTGCAATCCCTCATTCTCGACGAGGCCGATGTTCTCCTCGATCCCATCTTCCGCAAGCAAACCATGGGTATCTGGCGCGCCTGCACACACCCCAATCTCGGCATGACCTGCTGGTCAGCCACCATGGCCTCCAACATTGAAGCCCTCCTCACCAAGTCTATCGAGAAGCGCGCCAAGCGTACCCCCGAACAGACCCCCAAACCCCTGATCCGCCTCGTCGTCGGTCTCAAGGACACCGCCGTGCCCAACATCACCCACAAGCTCATCTACTGCGCCACTGAGCCCGGCAAGCTGCTCGCCCTTCGCCAGCTTCTCCACCCCGTGTCCTCGGCCGACTCGGGCCCGCCGCTGCGCCCTCCTTTCCTCGTCTTCACCCAGACCATCGATCGTGCCCAGGCGCTTCACGACGAGCTCAAGTACGACATCCCGCTCGAAGCCGGCGGTTCGGCCCGCGTGGCGGTCCTGCACTCTTCCCTCTCGGACTCGGTCCGATCCAAGATCATGGCCCGCTTCCGCAGCGGCGAGGTGTGGGTGCTGATCACGACGGATGTGCTAGCGCGCGGCGTCGACTTCGCGGGCGTCAACGGCGTCGTCAACTACGACGTGCCCGTGTCGGCGGCGGCGTACGTGCACCGTGCCGGACGTACGGGTCGCGCCGGTCGTGAGGGCGGTGTGGCTGTTACTTTCTACACCAAGGACGATATCCCCTTTGTCAAGTCGGTCGCCAACGTGATCGCCATGAGCGAGAAGCAGGCGGGCAAGGATATTGACGAGAAGGACACCGTCAAGGCGGCCCAGGGTAGCGTGCAGAAGTGGCTGCTCGATGCGCTGCCCAAGGTGGCCAAGGAGGATAAGAGGAAGTTGAAGGTCAGGGGTGTGGAGAGCAGGCGGACGGGTGGAAAGGCGACGATTACGACCAAGAGCAGTTGGGAAAGGAGGAGAGAGAATAACAGGCGGGAGGCTATTGAGGCTAGCAAGAGGAGGAAGAGAGAGGCGCAGAAGGCGGAGAAGGAGGGTGGTGCTGCCCCTGTCGAGAAGGACGAGGATTGGACTGGCTTGGACTAAAGAGCGCATGGTCCTTGAGTTGTTCAATTTAAGAAGATATTGTTACTGGGATTAAAAAGGATAGATACCCTTACTGTGTATACGTTGGTAGACAAAAAGCTTGATTTGTATTGGTTTATAAGTGTCAAATTCTTCTACAAGATAACGTCGTATGCTTCGTGTTATCTGAAGTCTCAAAACGTGCGAGAAGCAAAAGACTGACAGCAACGGAGAAGAATAACCGAATCATCAAAGGTATCATAACCTTGTTGTATCATAGCATTATGATACCCACTGTCAACCTCTCTTATCTCTCTCATTATCAAATTCTCCCCCAACTAAGCCACTCAGAACTCAAAAGCCCTGCGGCCTAAACTTCCACCTGCCCGGCTCAAAAACAGCCTCAAATTCAACCGCCGAAAACGTTCCGATCGCACAGCTCAAATCATGGAACCCTTCCAACCCCGTAACCGGCAAATCCTGCTCCGAATCAGCTTCCTCATGCAGATCCCACTGCTCCATGATCCTGCCCTCCCTCGTGAAGAACACATTCACATCCAACTTCCCGCCCGTGTTGGTAAACGTCATACCAATCCCGTACGTCTCGCCCCTCTTAAACGGCCTCGTGAAATCCTTGCCTCCCCACCGATCATTAACGTATTTGTGTCCATCATCGCCATGCACGGCCAACGAGCCGCGGTGCCAGCCTGGCATGCGGAAGGCTGGGTAAGGCAAGGCAGTAAATCCCAGAGCTAGGGTGATCTCCTCATTGTTTCCGCCGCCGCCCATGGCGCCCAAAAAGGGGTTGTTGGACCCCGCCCTCGGGATCGATACCTCGTAGTAAATCGTCTTCTCCCTGGACGGGGCAGTCGGGATCAAAGGCGAGTCGTACTTGACGCAGTACAGCGGCGGGTAGGAGATGATGCACGCATCACCCGCCGCCTTTTCTGTCTTGCCCTTCCACACGCCGGCGCTGACCCAGTCCAACTTGCCGCGGAACTGCGGACTGGACATCAGCCGGATGTTGTGCGTCCGCAGGGCGTCGAGGGCTACGGGATCCAGGTCCATGGGTGCCGTCAAGGGGTTTTGGGAGCACCAGGTCTCGCCCGCGTTGGCTTCCTCTTCTGTGGCGTTGGTGGTGTGTGAGCGGTCGTAGCCGGTGAAGAAGGCTGGAGGGGGAGGGAACAAGGCGGTGTCGGGCACGAAGGATTCCCAGTCGTGTTGCTTCTGGGCTTGCGAAGGTGGGGGACCCGGAGGGGGGCTGGGTGTAGTCGTCCTGG